AAAAAAAAAAAAAAGAATCTTTTAAGAGAATGCAAGGATACTGAAGCTAACACAAGAAGGGTCATCATTCTTTTGGGGCCCCTATAATAAAAAATCATCCCGAGATAGAGGGGCAACACATGGGTTCAGCCATAGAGGCTGCCTCCATTTTTTTATATCAGAGTCAACCATATTGATTATATTGATTTTAGGAATGTTCACTTTATAATGTGCCCCTTAAATAGTAACAATAATCTCCCTGGTGATAGTTGCTTCAAACTCTTAAGATAGGAAGCCCCACTTTAGGGTATAGAACATCTCTGTCTCCATCATTCCTCATTCACACACTACCCCAAGGATGAAAGCAAGGCTGACAATGCCAGTGGTGACTCAGGCTATTGGTTTCAGTTCAGTTAATGTTTACTCTGTGTTCCCATGTGCCAGGCACTGTGCTAGGAGCTGTGGATAGAGCAATTGAATGAGACATAGGCACTAGACTTGAGGGGCTGGTAGGGGACAGCAGTGGGAACATAAAAGTAAATAGACTATTACCAAAAGTGCTATGGAAACCCAAAAACAGAGTACCTAACCCAGCAAAGGAATCTGAATCTAGCCACCTCACCCAGACCTAAACTATGGACTCATAGCAAATTTAAATTTTTTTAAAAAATTATTTTACTGTTGAGAGTATTATAGATGTCCTCCATTCCCCCCTTTTACGCCCCCTACCCATCTCCCACCCCACCCCAGGACTTCACCTATTGTCTCTGTCCATGGGCTGTGCATATATGCTTATAAGTTCTTTGGTTAATCTCTTCCCACCCTCCTTCCCTCCTTCCCCCTGAGATCTGCCAGTCTGTTTCATGCTTCCATGTCTGTGGTCCTATCTTAAAAACAGCTGCTATATATTGAGTACTAACTATGTACCAAGCACTGTGCTAAGAAATGTTTTACATATGTCATCTCACTCTGTCCTTTACTGAAAATACCCTTGTCGTTGCCATTTTTAAGATGAGATGACTAAGTCATGGAAAAAGTAAGTGACTTCCCCACAGAGATAGTAAGTGGAAGAGCAAGGATCTGTATCCAGGTCTGACTCGAGAGATTGGCTGGAGGGTTCTTTGGAAAAGTTGTAAATTTAAGCACAGCACAGATCTTTTCCCCAGGTAATTTTAGGATATTTCTATTTCTACTGATTTAAATTATGGGCTTCCTAATCATGGCTCAAAAAGGGTCTCTTACTACGTTATTAAATTGTTCAATACTGCAGGGCCACGGGGACACATATGTCTCCCAGTTCTTTGCCTAGATTTGAGCTGTCTTTTGTATTTCCTTTTTGGAGACTTTATAGTTGTACAGTGGCAATTGGAGGGGTATGTTAAGTGATTTGCTTCCCTTTAAAACTAAAATGGTGTCTTGTTCTAGTGTATGAGTTGAGCTTTTTTTGTTCACTAAATTCCATTCCCTTATGGTTTCATAGGATGAAATACCATTCTTTATCCAAGAAAGCCAAGAAGATGGGGGAACATCTGCTTTGTCCTCAGATAAATAGAAAGCAGTCAGGCCCTGGCCAGGTAGCTCAGTTGGTTAGAGCATCGTCCCAATACGCCAAGGTTGTGGGTTCGATTCCAGATCAGGGCACATACAGGAATCAACCAATGAATGCATAAATAAGTGGAACAACAAATATCTCTCTCTCTCTAAAAATTAATAAATAATTTACAAAAAAGAAAGCAGTCAGCAAAATGTACACCGGCTCTGACAATAAAACCACCAGGAGCACAGACCTACCT